CCATCCCTGACTATGACATATACAGACATGACAGAAACCATAACGGGGGTGGTGTTGCATTCATAGTAAAGAAGTGCATCGACCACTATCCGCTGCAGCGGCTCCAAACTCAAAACACACAGGCCGTGGCTATAGCGGTGAGATCGCTACGGCATGGAGACGTTGCGGTGGTGTCCTGTTACCACCCACCCAGACTACCACTACTTGACAATGACTTAGACAAAATCCTTTCCTTGCTTCAGACAATTGCCATTGGGAACTTCAACGCGAAGTCCCCCATATGGCACAGCGGGACGACGACCACAAGAGGTCGCGTCCTGCTGAATTACCAAGACAGACACGACGGCATGACGATACTCGGACCGACAGAACCGACACATTACGGACCAGTAGGACGCCCCGACGTCATCGACATTGCCCTCTTAAAATCTATACCGTTAAATGCCCAATTATCCACCCAATAGGAAGGGTCTTCCGCCCACAATCCAATATTTCTGGATCTGGGGCGAAGACAGGGATATGAAGGCACCTTCACGAGGAGGTTCACTGACTGGGAGTGCTTCCGAGCAGTAATGCAAGGAAACATCGCGCTCTCAGTCATCGAAACCACCCATGATCTGGAGGCGGCAATCATCTCCCTTGAGACTGACATTAAAAACGCCTTGACTCAGACTACAACGGAGACTATTGTCCCACGATTGACAAACCCCCGGGGCACCCTCCTCGATGACATAAAAACGACGTGCGAAACGGCTTGCTACCCACACCCACCTCCCCCGACACAGACACGATTTAAACGTACTTAACAGACGGGTGAAGGCGGTTCTGGGTGAACTGGCCCAGGACAACTGGGCTAGTTCTAATAAGGAAAATATTTCTCTAAATGATGTTCTTACGGAACAGTCATTACACTTGCCGCAACAAAAACCAGAAAATATATCCACCTGTTCATCGTCATCGATACTGAGTACTCAATCAGGCTTGTTATCTACTACAAATAAGGCTACAGATCTTTCTGAAATATATTTGAAATTTGGTGACACCGTACCAAAACATTGATCAACATTGCAGCAACTGCAGCAGGCAAAGAGTCATCTAAAAGCCAGAATTTGTAGCCATAATTCTCTTCTGAAATTTTTGAAAAAGAAATATGACTTAACAGAAACTGCTCAATGTATCATTCATGTAAGCTGAAAAATACTTATTCCTTCTGTGTCTGTAAACAATATGTAATTTTAGGAATCAGTACCTGGAATAGTAGGTGAAATCTGTCAAAGATCAAGAAAATGACAATCTCGTAAAAAGTATTCACCTGAGCTTAGGTCGTTTGCCTTAACGTTAAGCTTTTATTCAACAGATGTTTATAATTATGCAAGAAGAAGCTTTAACATGGCTTTAGCACATACTTACAAAAATAATTTCTAAGTGTTACAGATCTATAGATGGAATTGGATTTGCAAATGAAGCATTGGCTGCTATTAAAATGAAAGTAAGAGAAACAAACCGTGAAATTTTGGGCAATTTGGTATTTGACAAAACGTCTATAATGCAAAGTGTTGAGTGGAATGGGAAACGATTTACTGGATATGTGTTGGGTACTTCTTGACAAACGGTTTAAGTGGTGGAGAAAAATCTAATTTGTTAAAAAATTTGTAGCATTTTTAAGTGAATTAGGTATCAAAATAGTTTTTGTTACTTTTGATGGTGCTCCTTCAAATATCAAATTACGACCATAAATGTTAATGTTAATATTAATAAGTAGATTGTAAGTTTGTAGCATTTTAGGTTATTTGTTGACTTATTACTCTTTCAAATTGGTTTTTTAATAAAAACTAGAAAAATAAACCAAACATTTATCTTTTTATGACATCTATGTCATGGTGTGTTATAGTGGGTTATAAGTCATAACTTACTAGTGACTTATGACTTATAAACTCACTAGTCACTTATAGGCCACATTATTCCTTTAAAACCAAAGAAATTACAGTATCATTATATACAAGTGTTGAATAAAAGCATTTAATCAATCAGTACTGATGTCAAAACAATGTGAGTATGGTAAAAACGGTTTATCAATTTTACTTCAATTTTTACCGTCTCATTATATCACCAATATGTAAAAATTATTTATAAAATGAGTAATCCTTTCAAATGTGTATTGGTATTTTGTAAATTTTAATATTTTGCATTTCTTGACAGTACGCCACTGCCGTTGTGTCTCATTGTTTACATTTGATCTATCTTTATTTATTAGGTAGTTCTCTGTTTAGATGTTTGCTACAGTTACAACACATGTATAAGAATACACAAAGCTCCTTCTACTGGTTAGAATTCGTTGGGCCTACTGATGAAAATGCTCACCAACCAATATCCCATATCCTTTATCAAACTCATAATATCCTACCTACACCACCGAAATTTCCGCATCCAAATCCAAGACTCCCTTTCCACCACCCGTCCCATGGAGGCCGGTGTCCACACACCTATACACCATTTACAACTCCGACATCCCACATGCCCCCAACACCAACATATACTTATACGCCGACGACCTGACAATCACATCCTAATCCGTTGATCCTAGATATTCCGCCCCCCTCCTCCAAAACTCCTTGGACCAACTTCAAACCCGGTGCAACAGGTGGAAAGTCAAAATTAATCCCAACAAAAGTTCGGCTATCCTTTTTACCAAACGAAAAATCCCACAAAACCTCGACAGACTGACATTATCCCAGGAACCCATCTCCTGGAATCGACAAACACGATACCTGGGCGTGACGATGGACCAGCGTCTCACGTGGAAACCGCACATCGCGGAGACGGTGGCGCGAGAGAAGACCACCAGGGCTAGGCTCTATCCCTTACTCAAAGGTGGAAACACCCTCAGTATAAGGAATAAGCGAACGCTTATCAAGGTGCTTCAACCGCAGCTAACCTACGCCTCCACGGGTCACGCGGCAAAAAGCCACTTAAAGTCACTACAGGCTTGGAACACATAGCCCTCCGTACGGACACGGCCACAGACGCGCCTTGGTACGTAAGAAACAGTGACATATTACGACACTTAACAATACACAAACGCTACACAGACAATAAGACAAAACGCTGAGAAACGGTTTGACGTAGCCGCTAGACATGACAATCCCCTCCTCAGGCAAGCCAACTACGTACCCGACATGACCTACAATCACAAAAGACCAACTTTTTGACCCTGGGTGACCACCCCAACGACATCCCTCCCCCCTCTGCCTGCTTACCTCAGAAAACGCCAGGATCAAGAAACGAAGACAACGATACACACATACACACCACCCATACCCTCCTTTCCCCTCCCCTCCCGCGTTAGCCTAAGGGCCACCTTAGCATAGCGCATCCCAAGCTGCATAGCCGCACTACCATACCTATACGCCGACGACTTGACAATCACATCCCAATCCGTAGATCCTAGATATTCCGCCTCCCTCCTCCAAAACTCCTTAGACCAACTTGAAACCTGGTGCAACAGGTGGAAAGTCAAAATTAATCCCAACAAAAGTTCGGCTATCCTTTTTACCAAACGAAAAATCCCACAAAACCTCGACAGACTGACATTATCCCAGGAACCTATCTCCTGGAATCGACAAACACGATACCTGGGCGTGACGATGGACCAGCGTCTCACGTGGAAACCGCACATCGTGGAGACGGTGGCGCGAGCGAAGACCACCAGGGCTAGGCTCTATCCCTTACTCAAAGGTGGAAACACCCTCAGTTTAAGGAATAAGCGAACGCTTATCAAGGTGGTACTTCAACCGCAGCTAACCTACGCCTCCACGGCGTGGGGTCACGCGGCAAAAAGCCACTTAAAGTCATTACAGGCTGTGGAAAACATAGCCCTCCGCACGGCCACCGACGCGCCCTGGTACGTAAGAAACACTGACATATTACGAGACTTACAATACACAAACGCTACACAGACAATAAGACAAAACGCGGAGAAACGGTTTGACGTAGCCGCTAGACATGACAATCCCCTCCTCAGGCAAGCCGTTGACTACGTACCCGACGTGACCGACAAACACAAAAGACCTAGACACCAACTTTTTGACCCTGGGTGACCACCCCAATGACCCCCCCCCCTGCCCGCTAACCTTTTCTGTTTCAGAGACAGCCAGGATCAAGAAACGAAGACAACGACACACACACACACACATACACACCCCCCATACCCTCCTTACCCCTCCCCTCCCGCGCTAGCCTAAGGGCCACCTTAGCAAAGCGCATCCCAGGCTGCATAGCCGCACTGCCCTACCCAACCATACCACACATAAACATGACACCACCCCCGGGGTTTACACAGACGAGCCGGCGAAGCAAGAAGAGCGCCAGAAGAAAGGGCCCTAGCCGGCGGGGCCCAGCCAGGACAAAAGGAGGTCCCACAAAGCGCCTACACCGGCCGCATTTGCGGTCGGGGTAGACGACGGATGGGGCCCACCTACGAAGGCTGTCCAGGCCTACACGAGATGAGGCAGGATAAAGAGGGATAATCCCCCTCGATCCCAAATCATTGAGACCAATTTCTAGCCATGGAATAATGGCGCGCACTACCATACCAACACATAAACATGACACCACCCGCAGGGTTTACACAGACGAGCCGGCGAAGCAAGAAGAGCGCCAGAAGAAAGGATCCTAGCCGGCGGGGCCCAGCCAGGAGAAAAGGAGGTCCTACAAAGCGCCTACACCGGCAGCATTTGTGGTCGGGGTAGACGACGGATGGGGCCCACCTACGAAGGCTGTCCAGGCTTACACGAAATGAGGCAGGATAAAGAGGGATAATCCCCCTCGATCCCAAATCATTGAGGCCAATTTCTGGCCATGGAATAATGGCGCGGGGATGACCGATTCACTTCACTTCAGTCTCAAGTCACATTGATGCGGTGATGCGAAACATACGACATTATTTTTTCATCGGGATCCGCATGAATTGATTCCCACTAGAGATCCGTATGATACGGATCTTGCCCACCATTAGACTAAATATCCAATGGGCGAAGGCCAATAAAAGAAGAAGGAGAAGAATTTATCAAAATTATTACAATTATTGCCCGTCTATTTCGTAGATCCAATATAGTATACTAATTAAATCTATGGTTTATTTACATGGTAATGTAAATTAATTCAAGGTATATAAAATAATTTGTTCGTTATGGAAAAGGAGGATGAAATTTTGTATATTTATTTTACGCATATATCACAACTTTGTTTTGAAAAGGCCAAAGAACATATAGTAAGTAATAAAGAAGTTTATAAAAATGTCAATATAATTTACAGGATTGTTTTAGGAAAGAGAAAAAGAACCAAAATCTGTTACACCATGGAATACGTTCTTGAATTTTTTACAACAATTGGCTTTAGCAGAGAAAAGTTATATAGAAATAGGATTTTTACAAAATAAACATAAAAGTTTTCTCAGAAAAGATGTAAGTTCCGTATGTACCTGAAGTTCCGAACGTTCGTTTGAACGAAAATGAAAACCTATAATATCACGTTTAATCGTACTTAAAATGATTTTACCACCTAAATTCTGGCTTCTGTAGACGAAAACAACACTTCCCCATCATCGGAAGCCACCCCACATATCAACCACCCTTAAAACTTAGTTACTTGTATTTTAGAAAATTAGCCCCGTACNGCACGGGTCCTGCAACAAAGATGCCGACGGCCTCTATGCTTAAGCAGGGGATTAGGTCGGTGATTAAAAGGAAAGAAAGGGATTCTTTCCAGGTAGCCTTAATAAAGGCAGGTAGATTTTGCTCATTGCAATCACTTCACCACACAAACAGACACGTCTGCTCAGCTCGGCTGTTCGCTCTGAACTGTTGGACGCCCCGACGTCATCGACATTGCCCTCTTAAAATCTATACCGTTAAATGATTAAATATCCACCCAATACGAAGGGTCTTCCGCCCACAATCCAATATTTCTGGATCTGGGGCGAAGACAGAGATATGAAGGCAACTTCACGAGGAGGTTCACTGACTGGGAGCGCTTCCGAGCAGTAATGCAAGGGAACATCACGCTTCCAGTCATAGAAACCACCCATGATCAGGAGGCGGCAATCCTCTCCCTTGAAACTGACATTAAAAACGCCCTGACTCACACTACGACGGAGACTATTGTCCCCCGACTGACAAAACCCCGGGGCGCCCTCCCCGATGACATAAAAAACTTAATACGTGACAGACGACGTGCGAAACGGCTTGCCACCCGCACGCGCCTCCCCCGACACAGACATGACTGAAACGTACTTAACAGACGGGTGAAAGCGGCTCTGGACGAACTGGCCCAGGACAACTGGGCTAGGCACCTGGAGTCGTTGGATCCACAAGACAACAGCCTCTGGAAAACGCAGAGGGCCCTGCGACATACCGCTCGCCGTAAAATTCCTCCAATCCACGGTATGAAGGCCTACTGATGAAAATGCTTACCAACCAATATCCCATATCCTTTACCAAACTCATAAAATGCTACCTACACCACCCAAAATTCCGCATCCAAATCCAAGATTCCCTTTCCACCACCCGTCCCATGGAGGCCGGTGTCCCCCAGGGCACCGTTCTGTCTCCACACCTATACACCATTTACAACTCCGACATCCCACATCCCCCCAACACCAATATATACTTATACGCCGACGACCTGACAATTACATCCCAATTCGTAGATCCCAGATACTCCGCCTCCCTCCTCCAAAACTCCTTAGACCAACTTGAAACCTGGTGCAACAGGTGGAAAGTCAAAATTAATCCAAACAAAAGTTCGGCTATCCTTTTTACCAAACGAAAAATCCCACAAAATCTCGACAGACTGACACTATCCCAGGAAACCATCTCCTGGAATCGACAAACACGATACCTGGGCGTGACGATGGACCAGCGTCTCACGTGGAAACCGCACATCGTGGAGACGGTGGCGCGAGCGAAGACCACCAGGGCTAGGCTCTATCCCTTACTCAAAGGTGGAAACACCCTCAGTTTAAGGAATAAGCGAACGCTTATCAAGGTGGTACTTCAACCGCAGCTAACCTACGCCTCCACGGCGTGGGGTCACGCGGCAAAAAGCCACTTAAAGTCATTACAGGCTGTGGAAAACATAGCCCTCCGCACGGCCACCGACGCGCCCTGGTACGTAAGAAACACTGACATATTACGAGACTTACAATACACAAACGCTACACAGACAATAAGACAAAACGCGGAGAAACGGTTTGACGTAGCCGCTAGACATGACAATCCCCTCCTCAGGCAAGCCGTTGACTACGTACCCGACGTGACCGACAAACACAAAAGACCTAGACACCAACTTTTTGACCCTGGGTGACCACCCCAATGACCCCCCCCCTGCCCGCTAACCTTTTCTGTTTCAGAGACAGCCAGGATCAAGAAACGAAGACAACGACACACACACACCATACACACCCCCCATACCCTCCTTACCCCTCCCCTCCCGCGCTAGCCTAAGGGCCACCTTAGCAAAGCGCATCCCAGGCTGCATAGCCGCACTACCCTACCCAACCATACCACACATAAACATGACACTACCCCCGGGGTTTACACAGACGAGCCGGCGAAGCAAGAAGAGCGCCAGAAGAAAGGGCCCTAGCCGGCGGGGCCCAGCCAGGACAAAAGGAGGTCCCACAAAGCGCCTACACCGGCCGCATTTGCGGTCGGGGTAGACGACGGATGGGGCCCACCTACGAAGGCTGTCCAGGCCTACACGAGATGAGGCAGGATAAAGAGGGATAATCCCCCTCGATCCCAAATCATTGAGGCCAATTTCTAGCCATAGAATAATGGCGCGGCGCGCCGGGTATATTTATACCATTCAACACTTTCTCAAAAGATAAATAAGTACTGACAACAAACAACAAAGGAAATATGTAAATTAAAAAAACAATCATTACTTGAAAATTAATTCCAAAATTTTATTCATTTTCTTTATTTACTTTCTTAATAGCTAATAAATAATCAACAAAAAATTGATTTTTAAATATAAAAATATATAATTATTTTAAACAATCCATTTTAAGTACATATATACCTAGGTATATAGGTTATAGGTATATAGGTATATAGGCTATATACCTAGGTATAGGTTAAGTACATATATTTACCTAGGGTCAAAAAGTTGGTGTCTAGATCTTTTGTGTTTGTCGGTCACGTCGGGTACGTAGTCAACGGCTTGCCTGAGGAGGGGATCGTCATGTCTAGCGGCTACGTCAAACCGTTTCTCCGCGTTTTGTCTTATTGTCTGTGTAGCGTTTGTGTATTGTAAGTCTCGTAATATGTCAGTGTTTCTTACATACCAAGGCGCGTCGGTGGCCGTCCGGAAGGCTATGTTTTCCACAGCCTGTAATGACTTTAAGTGGCTTTTTGCCGCGTGACCTCACGCCGTGGAGGCATAGGTTAGCTGCGGTTGAAGCATCACCTTGATAAGCGTTCGCTTATTCCTTAAACTGAGGGTGTTTCCACCTTTGAGTAAGGGATAGAGCCAAGCCCTGGTGGTCTTCGCTCTCGCCACCGTCTCCACGATGTGCGGTTTCCACGTGAGACGCTGGTCCATCGTCATGCCCAGGTATCGCGTTTGTCGATTCCAGGAGATGGGTTTCTGGGATATTGTCAGTCTGTCGAGGTTTTGTGGGATTTTTCGTTTGGTAAAAAGGATAGCCGAACTTTTGTTGGGATTAATTTTGACTTTTCACATGTTGCACCAGGTTTTAAGTTGGTCTAGGGAGTTTTGGAGGAGGGAGGCGGAATATCTAGGATCTACGGATTGGGATGTGATTGTCAGGTCGTCAGCGTATAAGTATATGTTGGTGTTGGGGGGGATGTGGGATATCGGAGTTGCAAATGGTGTATAGGTGTGGGGACAGGACGGTGCCCTGGGGGACACCGGCCTCCATGGGACGGGTGGTGGAAAGGGAATCTTGGATTTGGATGCAGAATTTTCGGTGGTGTAGGTAGGATTTTATGAGTTTGGTAAAGGATATGGGATATTGGTTGGTGAGCATTTTCATCAGTAGGCCTTCATGCCAAACCGTATCGAAGGCCTTTGCGACGTCCAGGACGACAGCACCAGTGTACTGTCCCCTGTTGAAGGCCGCCATGTTGTTCTCGGATTTGGAATTCAGTGGAGTCATTGGGTCAGAAGGCGAACTGCTCGTCTGGAATGACTCGCAGTTCTTGGGACTGGGTTCTTAGACGGGTTAGGATAATTTTTTCTACCACTTTGCTCATAACCGGGAGCAGGCTAATGGGCCGGTAGTTGGATGGGAAGGTGTGATCTTTGTTGGGTTTTAGGATTATGTTTGCTGTTTTCCAGCAGACAGGGAAGTGTCTTAGTCTGAGTGTCGCGTTTGTTATGTTTAGTAAGGCCATGAAGCCTTTGTGTGGTAGTCGTTTAAGTGTCGTGGTATGTATATTGTCGGGTCCGGGGGCTTTTCTGTTTTTAATTCTGCCTATTGCCAGTCTTAGTTCGTCAGGAGTTTCGGGGGGGTTTATGTCATTGCCCGGCTCTCTGTCGCTCAGCCACTATCTCGAATTCCTCGTCTTCGTCGGGCAGCTGAGGCAGTCTACACTGCAGTTCCAGGCTGTCGGTGAAAGTCTCGGCCTTTTCCTGGTTCGTGTAAACCACCCCCACACTACCGTGAATTGGAGGAATTTTACGGCGAACGGACTGTCGCAGGGCCCTCTGCGTTTTCCAGAGGCTGTTGTCTTGTGGATCCAGCGACTCCAGGTGCCTAGCCCAGTTGTCCTGGGCCAGTTCATCCAGAGCCGCCTTCACCCGTCTGTTAAGTATGTTTAAGTCATGTCTACGTTGGGGGAGGCGGGTGCGGGTGGCAAGCCGTTTCGCACAACGTCTGTCACGTATTAAGTTTTTTATGTCATCGGGGAGGGTGCCCCGGGGGTTTGTCAGTCGGGGGACAATAGTCTCCGTCGTAGTCTGAGTCAGGGCGTTTTTAATGTCAGTCTCAAGGGAGAGGATTGCCGTCTCCAGATCGTGGGTGGTTTCGATGACTAGGAGCGCGATGTTTCCTTGCATTACTGCTCGGAAGCGCTCCCAGTCAGTGAACCTCCTCGTGAAGGTACTTTCATATCTCTGTCTTCGCCCCAGATCCAGAAATATTGGATTGTGGGTGGAAGGCCCTTCGTATTGGGTGGATACCCGGAAATCGGCCGTTGAAAATCGTCATTGTCGCATTTTTAGCAACTTAAATTGTTTATAACTTTAAAACTATAAATTTTAGATGTGTAGTGCATGGGAACTTTTTTGTTTATAATGTGCCAAAAAACCTAAAAAAAATTCCGGAGTGAAAAAAACGATTTTTACAATTTGTTTAAAAAGTTTGTTTAAACAAATGGCACCAGATTTCCGGCCGGCATCATCTTGATTCATGTTAAGGAACATCTCACGAATCTGAATATACAAAAAAATCTAGTCGGAAAATTTCTCCCAAGAATGCGAGGTTTTCGCCTTGTCTATATGCGACTCTGACGCCGTTGAACACCTCGTCAACAGTCTCATAGGGTCGATTTGGATGTTTGAGTATCCAGCGCTTCTCTTCTCATCAGGTTATAAAATTCTGACGTTCTAACAAATATAG